AAGTCTAAGCCTATAGCAGCAGAACTATAGAGATAGCTCAGGATAACTGGGCCACCCTAACTATAAGCTTTATCAAAAAGGAAAGTTTTCTCAGAATTTTGACCTTAATTCCAGAATTGAGACTTTTTTTCTCAGAATTCTGACTGAATTCTGACAATTAAAAAAAAAAGCATTCTGAGAAAAAAGTCAGAATTCTGAGATTAAAGTCAGAATTCTGAGATTAAAGTCAGAATTCTGAGATTAAAGTCATACTAAACTAAAATAAAATTTAAAAATTAGTTAACTTTTTTTTTTCAGTGGCCCTAATCCTCTTCCGTAGTGGAAGTGAATATGTGGTAAAAAAAAACTGCGAGCACAAGATTATAAAATCAAATATTTTTTGCTGGGAGGTTTTTACAATTTTTTAATTAATTTAGGTATTTATAAACTGTTTCACTGTAGCTCATTAAAAGGTTTCAGAGCAGAATGATCAGATATCGCTCTTTGTCGCTTGTATGTATCAATCGATTTTTCTGTTTTTTTTTAGAAAATGTGGAGTTCATCTCTGTCTGTAAAAGTCCTGGTTTAGTTTTTCTGATTGGTTGATGCTCTGCTTCAAAAGTTCAGACATCTCTGTCCCTCATAGACTTTGCATGTAAATCAGATAACAGCCAGAATGCATTTGGTGTTAACAACCTTCTAAAACAGGCAAATCAGCTGATATAAGTTAAGCTTTCCTACATAATTTCTTTATTACGGTGGAATTAGAGAAAGTTTACCTTGTGTTGAACTAAATAATGTATATGTTTATATCTTTAAATGATCTTGTGTGTTTTGTTTGTATAAACTGTAGTGTCTGGATGCGAGCAGACCGTGGCTTTGCTTCTGGATCCTCCACAGCCTGGAGTTACTGGAGGAGCCCATTCCTCCCGCTGTCGCCTCTGAGTGAGTCTCACAGAAACAGACTAGGATACCTCAACTACTGTAGAGAGCTGCAGTTTACAGCAAGGAATCATTTTAACACAACATCACATGAAAGAGATTCCTTTTTTTTTCATAGTGATCTTAAACGTTCCACATTTATTGTATAAAAACAGGGAAGACATTCACATGGCAGCGTCAAAACTCAAAAGGAACCGATTTCACTTTCAGTTTGGCAATGACACAAAATAATCTATTTATGATAAAGTAACAACAAAGAAAAACTGTAAAACATTTTTTTTTTTAAATCTGCTTATTGAGTGTTTTAATAAATCAAATTGTTTGCATGAATAAAAAGGAAAGCTTCCTGTGTCCAATGATGGAGGACGCTGAATAGCAGCATGGTTTCTTCATATTTCTTTAAAACCTTTTGTTTGTGGTTTCTTTCTTGGCCTCATAATGGGTCTGTTGTTTAGAATAAAACTGAGTCACATTTTCTTTCTGCTTTTCTTTTCCTTTGAAGTTTCAATATCCATAATCAGGGTTCCTGCAGATCCTTAAAAAGTCTCAAAAAGGCGTTGAATTCTTAAATATAAAAATAAGGCCTTAATTGGTATTCAAAATGTCTTAAATCAGCCTTTTATAGGTCTTAAAATTGTCACCAAGTCATAAATAGGATTATATTTTTGTAATTCATATCAAAAATTTAAATAATTCATGATAATTTTTTTACAATTACCAAACGGCTTAGCTGTAGCCATTATTAGTTCTATCGCGACATAAAAACAATGTTGCAAACAGACCTTGCACTGTTAGACATTTCAATGGGTTTATTACAGTAACTTACTGGCAACTGTGTTGCAGTAGTGGTAGTAGTAGTGATACTGTATGTAAAGTTTACAGTAACTAATGATGCGCCGATAACATAGGGAAGTGTAAATTCAATGAAAATCGTCTATCTAGCCAAGAGTATTCTGCATGGGTAAAAATGGTCCCAGGTGAGGAATAGTGTATTTTGAGCAAAAGGTCATTCAAGCTCAGCATGTTTGGAATCAAAGCTTTGGAGTCAGACATGTGAAGGTGTGAAGGTTCCTGTATGGGGCCGCCTTTTACAGCTGCTTTTTGTATGTCTGCTTCTGTCATCAGCAGATGGCCGCTCACACTGAGCCTGGTTCTGCTGGAGGTTTCTTCCTGTTAAAGGGGAGTTTTTCCTCTCTACTGTCACTACAAGCATGCTTAGTGTGAGGGATTGATGAAGAGTCAATGAGTCGATGCAATCAACTGGTTTTTCTTAAATAGAAAACATTGAATCAATCTGACTGGATGATCTGGTGAACTTTAAAGTGCCTTGAGATGACGTGTGTTGTGAATTGCCGCTATATAAATAAACTTAATTTAATTGAAGAGTGAAAAACAAACCACCAAAATTAAGTTACAGAGAAGCAGCAGCTATTTCTCAGTTCTGTTCCACACTTGTCTCTGCAAGGCCTCTACAGTCATCTCCATCAAAAAGAACCAGTAGACCCAAATCTCCGGATAATGTTTGGCTGTAAGCCTACAATGGAAGCACAGCTATTATAGACTTTGAGTAGGGATCAAAACAAAGTTTGTCAATTCCATTCATTATTTGTTAAAACTATATCTGGTATTAGTGTTTTTTTTTTAGCTTTCTTCCTATATGGAAAGTTTTTCAAAACTGTAAATATTACTTCAAGAAAGCAATGGTTTATGTTAAAATAAGCATCAGGTTAAATTTGTTGCAACCAGGTTTTCTTGTGTTTTTTGTGAAGTTGGTCTTAAAGTTTTATTTCAAGGGACATAAGTCTTAAATTTAACTTGCCTTATGTTGTAGGAACCCTGATAATAATCTGAACTTTATTAGTCATTTTAGCCTTCAGAGTTTTTACAATGTGCTTGGTTTCCATTCTGTATGTAAGGCAGTAAGTAGCTTAGATGTACAAAAAAAAAAAAAAGAATCAAACTAATTCTGGCTGCTCACTAATGATGAAGAATATTAGCTTTTTTTATTGCTGTTTTTATGCAGTCAGGAATTAAACAGAGAAACACAAAAACTTTCATTTAAAAAAAGTCACTGCCTTTTGAATGTGTCGCTCTGCAAACCTCAGGGTGCAGCGATGCCAGGTCAAGCCTACACTCTCATTATAACAGTGCGGCGTGCCAGTTGGAGCGGATGGTACGGCCCTGTGCGTGCCGCCCGCCAGCCTTGTGTTCATACAAAGGAGCACACTGGCTCCTCCTGAGGCTTTCTAACAATGGCGGCCCGACGACAGATTGCTTCCTCTGTCCCGTACTGGGTTCAGGTCAGAACCGGCACCAGACGGCCTGGTTGGTTTAGAGTTAATGAAAGCGTCTCTTCCAACTCATTTGGCCGGGGATCCTGTGTGTTCAGCTATTCCTCTCTGCAGCGGAGGCTGGAAAGAACATTTTTTGGAATTTGGTGGATGAATTCAGGGCTGTAAAGAGCAAAACCTCAGCTGTCTTCTGTGACACGTCAGCTGAAGAACTTTAATGTTTTTATTTTTGCAGCTGTAAAAAGGATTTTTTTGAAGGCCAGACAGAGTTATATAAGAGGAGGTTTTATTTTTTATTTTTCTAGCTGGCTCTGCTCATTTTATCTCATAAAATCTGGGAGTACTGAGTGGAAAATATATTTGCACATAAAAAGGAAAGATTCCAATGATTCAGAAAAGGATATCTTCTTTTTCTTTTATTCCGATAATGTATTCAGATACATATGATATGCCTTACTTAGGATAAAAAGCCTTTTTATACAAACATAGTAACATGTTAATCTATGTTCTGCTCAAATCTGTAAAAATTAACGTTCTGTGCTTATAAAGTTAAGATTGATTTTAGCAAATCACTGTAACGAATGAAATATGACGAGCTACAACAATTCACTATTTTAAGCTCTTTCTGTTCCTCTTTAAAAGAATAAATCATGGATTCTGAGAGGCAGATGTGATAACAGCAGCTTCACATACGTCTTCCTGTGCCGCTGTGTTTATTTTGGATTGGCTGTGGGCTCAGCAGCAGCCCACCTTAAACCATTATACTGCGACGTGATTGGCTCAACCGTTTGAGGCAGTCTTCAATAGTTGAAGATAGATTTTTACAGGCAAGCTTATATATTTAGTGTCCTAGAAACTAATTAGTCTGTTTTTTGATTTCCTCTTTAGCTGGTTATTGTTGGTTAGTTAAGGTTATGCAGTAGTTGTTTTTTCTCAGGATCCAGGATGCTTTGTTCTTTTGATGTACAAAATCATAATGCGCTGCTGTTGTTTTTATTTATCCTAATCTGACATTGAAATCTGCTTAATTATTTAGAATATTTAGGTGTGGAAAAAAAAAACTAAAGAAATGTCTAGATGGAAAACTGTTTTCAAAGTGCTGCTTTTAGGTGAAAAGCTTAGTTTCAAAAGAAAATGCTTATAAACCTGTGATACTCTGCCTCCTCAGAGTGTGTCAGTTTCTGGCTCACTGTCAGAGCCCAACGGGGGGGTTCGCTGGAGGACCAGGGCAGCACGCCCACCTCGCCCCGACCTACGCTGCTGTCAACGCCCTGTGCATCATCGGCACAGAGGAGGCCTACGGCGTGATAGACAGGTAGGATCCTCCACACACAGCCACTCCATCCCACCAATCAGCACCGAGCCAGTCGAAGGTAAACGATTCTAGATATGATGGAATCGTTTAGTCGGGGAACTCGTTTTTTTTTACGATATGTTGGTTAGATTTGATTAAACCAGCTAAAACCAGATAGTTTTCACATTCAGGGTTTTTTATTTTTTAAATCTACATCTTAAGGTTATTTACATTGTCCAGTTTGATAAGGTAGATACTGTGTTTATTAGGGTGATGGTGTAAAAGATGTAAAAAAGCTTGCATTATAATAAGTTGGTATTTTTCCTGGATGCAGAGATGTTCCACTGAAATGTCGGGTAGCCCTCTGACCTCTGGTTCATGGTGGATCCACAGGATGTTCATACACTAAAGGATAGAAAAATCTTTATTAAATCTTCTAAAATGTAGAGTTTCCTATGTTTTTTTTTCTTTAGGGTTTCTAGAAAGTTGGCAGCAAATTAAACCTTATATCTTTCCTAGCACACATTAGAACTCAGGTAGAGGGCCTCAATTTCTCTGTAAATGCTCAGGACATTCACGCCTTTAAAGCCATTTTTAGTACAATAGGTTTTCTTCTACAGGATTTACGCCACCGGCATTTTTTCCTGTTCAAGCAGCACTAAACATAAATAAAAACATGTTTTTTTTTTTAAGGCATTCTTCTACCTTTTCTATGTGACTAACCTGCTGATGCTTTACAGACTCTCTGTAATAATTGTTCATTATTCACACCCTTCAACCTTCCTCAGGGAGAAGCTTCTAGACTTCCTCTGGTCATTGAAGCAGCAAGACGGCTCCTTTGTGATGCACATCGGAGGGGAGGTAGATGTCAGGTGAGAAGGCTCCATAATTGGATAATTTCACCACCTTTTCTCTTGTTTATATTTCAATCTTTGTTTCTCTTCTTTTGAAAAATAGAATTAAATCAATTAGAGCTCAAACCAGAAGTGTATGCTGCATAGTCACTTTTACAAATACCTTCAGTGTTTATATGGAGAGCTTTTGTTCAGGATCAATTTAACAGGATAAAATGGCACATACGTTTCCTGAGAATTAAAGTGAGAGCTTTAGTTTTCTTAACATCAATAACTAGGAGGTCTGCTGCATAGTGATCGTCTTTATTCTGTTTGAGCTGCATATGAGCTTAATGGAAGAATTCTAATCTATAATGTACTCTGTTCAATATGAGGTAAGAAGCAGGCTGGAACCAGAGAAACGCGAACTTTATGTGTTTTTGGAAAATGATAAAATTTGGATTGAAATCTGGAGTAGGGATCTTGGATTTTTATTTCATGGCAGCAATGCTTTAGTTAAAATACTAGAATCTTTTAGGATTCATGTCTTATTAAGAGGAAGGATCATATCTTTTTAAATTCCTTTAGTTGAAATAATGCATGATGAATAGTTTTATTATAATTATAAATCTGAGAAATTAAACGTAAAATGCCCTGGAAAAAGAAAAAAAAAAGATGCGTCTTATTGGGGGTTTGAACAGTGAAATGTTTTAATGGAGTTATATCGTGTTGGAAGAGGATAAATCGGCTAGTAGGACCTTTCAGCTGCTCAGATAAATGGTAACACTACCTTCATTCACCCATTCACTCACACACTGATGGTGGCGAGCTACATTGTAGCCACAGCTGCCCTGGGGCTCACTGACAGAAGCGGGGCTGCCGTACACTTGCGCCACTGGGCCCTCTGACCACCATCAGTAGATGATGCAGGTGAAGTGTCTTGCCTAAGGTCACAACGACAATGAAAGTCGGAGTCGGGGCTTGAACTATCAACCCTTCGATTTCAGGGCAAACTCCTACATCCAACGCCACTGTTGCCCCTGCATCTGCTCTTAGATTATGCCATACCCGTATATAGGACGACCCTTATTATAAGACGGCCCCCTCTTTCCAGGACCAGTTTATAGGAACAAAAACCAAAAAAAAAACTAAAAAGACTGATAAAACAAATTTATTTGGTTTAAAGAAACTTTTATATTGAAGTGCTACCAATTTCATTGAAATAACATTGGATTGAAAGATTTGTGCAATTAAACTATAAAGTAAAAAAAAATAACACTGCAATAACACATTTAATTGAAATCTTGCAACACTTCAACTCAAATGTAATCTGAACTTTGCTCACAGAACGTCTCAAAAACCTGGATGAGGCTTTTACTCAGACGTCCTCTGCCTCGCTGCGCTCGCTGTAGCTCTGCTATTTTTTGCTAAGCTTTTCTTTTGCTGTATGCATTTTTCTGGTCTTCTGACATTGTAATCTGTAACTCCGTATTTCTTTGATGCCTCCTCTGTGTTGACCACCATTTATTTTACAATTGCTGTCATTATTTCGCCTCAAATGTCTGCAATCTTGTCTGACTTTTGATCTACTCCGTACTGAGCAGCGACTCTCCTTTTGTAGTATCTTTGTCACTTCTTCTCTGCTGTGATTAAAAAATTACCCCAGCCAAAGTAAGGTCACTAACTTTACAAAAAACCGGCGCCCTCTGCTGTTGCGTTCGTGTAGCGATCCCAGACAACTGTCAGTCCGTATAATTGGTTAGACCT